TGTTTTTATTATTTAACCATCACCCTTAATCATTAAAATGGAGGCATGATGTGGTGTCTAGTGTCAAACATATTGCTCAACTGAGACATTGCATATTTTTGAAAGTGGCAAGAGTTCCACTTGACTGAAGTTTATTTTTGGCAAGCCACATAAATAAACATTTCTGCAACTTCCCTCTGTCTCTTAGCCTTCTGATTCAATGTGAACAAATTTAAATGAAAATAAACATTACATTTCACAGATTTTCTCTCATTTCTACATCATGGAAAAATTCTATGATGATACAAGTTTGTTATATAGTGTCATGCTTAATCCCATATTCTCTCAGGCACACCTTATTTGTTTGACCCTACTACAGTGTGGCAGGTGATTTATGTGGCACAATCATCTCTTACTTTCAAGCATCTGCAACTGTTAATTATGTTCATGTTGCTCATGACTTATGGTTTTGTGGGTCCTGCATATGTCAAACAGGATGTTTATTATTACTCAGTTCATCTTTTACTAGGTTCTGGAGCTACCTCCCCAAGAGCCTTGTCCAGTCCCACCTCCCTTTCAGCTTTTAGGGAGCAAGTGAAAAGTGACTTGTTCTTCCACGCCCCAAATTTGACATGTGAGCGGTGTCACCCACCAGTCAGTCACCTGATATCACAGTGACCATCACAATGACATCAAGTGACCTGTTCAGTTGATTGTCTGGTCTTGTGAAGCCCCTTTCAACATGCTGCTTTGCAGAGTGCTTCATGAGGGTCTTAGCTTGATCTGACTACCAGCTACAAAGGTCACTTGATGTTATTGAACAGGACTTTGCTGATCAGCGATTTTTACATGCTGCACACCTGATATAGACAGTACATTAATATAAAAAATATATTGATGTATGTGGACAATGTTTTCCTTTAATCACCAAATAACCAAAATTACTGTACACCGTGCTTTTTTTTCTTAAAGAATGTTTAGGGATACTTTCATTTTCCTACTCATATTGAAATACTGCCCCTCAACGAGGCCAAACTTTGATTCACAAAATGTTTAAGGGTATGTGTATCCCTGCATCCTCCAAGAAAAAAGCACTGACTGTACACACATCAAGATTAAGAGGTAAGTCTTCCTTTATAAGTAGTTTGACTTCGAAGCTGCTGTGAGTTCTGTAAAATTCGCAAATTAAATGCTATGCCCTTTGGACCAGCACCAAGATGACAGGATGTATTGTATCCATTTACTGTTGTACAGGGCTAATAGCAATGATCGTAAGCATGTTGATTTGGAAGACAGTTCTGTTGCAGTAAGACATACCTCCCCTCCCCCCACGTATAAGATGATATTTTTTCATAGGCAGAAATTGTGGGTGGTCTTATACATGGATAGCAGAGGAGCGATGGGCGATTGGTGGCAGCAGTCAGCAGGAGAATGGCAGCAGCGATTGGGAGTGTGATTGATGCGGCAAGGCCTGCTGACAATTGACTGCTGCTGTGGCAATTAGGCGTTTGATTTATGTCAGTGGCGATGTGTGTGTGCAATCTGCTGTGGTTACGTTGAGTGGTCAGGTGGGCTTTTGGCAGTGAGCATGCTGATTGGTGGTCGCAGTGATGCATGAGATTTGCATTGGCAGGCAGGCTGTAGCGCGATTGGTGGTAGTGCCCCCAAAAGCTCACTAACTCTGGGCAATCCCCCCCAAAAAAGTTTTTTGTGGTCCCCAAAAATAGGGGGTGTCTTTTACATGGGGGCATCTTATACAAGGAAAAATATGGTACTTCCTTGTAAGTGTGCACAGGATTGCATTATAGAAGCATCAGAAAGTTGTTCCTTTGGTAATCAAAGCCTGAACTAGCATTTCATCATAAACAGTGAGGAACCACATCTGTTGTAGTCACATAGTGCAACATTCCCAAACAGGGACGCGGACTTATAAAAAATATTGGGGGGGCCCGGGAAAGCTCATGAATAATAAATAAGCTCATGAATATGCAAATAAAGTGGCGCCGCCTCCTCGTGAGCGAATAGGGGAGAGCGTGCTGCGCCTATTAATCAGCTCCAAAGGAAATTGGGTGGAGCTTTTGCTCGGGAGGGAGGGCAGGAGGCATGCAGCCCGCCCCTCCCTGTGCATTTTGGGCTGGGGGAGGGGCGGCGATGGCGCTCTGCTGGAGGGGCGCCGGAGATTATTGGGGGGGCGGAGCCCCCCCAAACGAATTTTTGAGGGGGCTCGGGCCCCCTCAAGCCCCATGGAGTCGGCGCCTATGTTCCCAAATGAGTAAGACCTTGTGAATGAGCATGTGACACATCAACAGGCAGGATCACACCCTATTTTTTACTAGAATCTAAACCAAGCCTTATGAGGAAAAGTTGAGGGAGCTGGGTATGCTTAGGCTGGGAAAAGGCTGTCGCATGAAACAAGCTTGTTTTCTGTTGATTTGAAGGTTAGGACCCAAACCAATCAATTCCAATTAAAAGAAAGGAAATTCTGCCTAAACATTAGGAAGACCTTTCAGACGGTAAGAGCAGTTCAACAGTGGAACAGACTACTTTGGAATCCGGTGGTGGACTCTCCTTCATTGGAGATGTTGATACAGAGGTTGGATGGGCATCTGTCAGGGATTCTTTAGTTGATATTTCTGCATTTCAGCGGGTTGAACTCGATAACTCTTTGGGGCCCTTCCAACTCTATGATCCTATGAAACCACAGAGAAAGGGAAAGGAAAATAGAGGCAAAGATCAATGTAGGGAGGACATATACAATTATTTCTGTGGATTCAGGGCAGCCCAACAAAGCGTTCCTTCACACAGAGCATAATTAGTTGAAGGAATTCAGGATCCAAGTATTGGTGGTGGCAAATAGCTTGGATGTAGTGGTTGCTGGTCTGCTGGAACAAATAAGCCTGACTGCTGCTTTCAGCCAGCCCCCCAACCTAGCTGCTTGACTTCTTACTTGCAGTCAGTCTTATGAAAACTGTTGGGACCGGATGTAGATCCTTCTAATTACTGATCTATTTCTTCTTTCTGCTTGCAGAAATTAGCACTGAAACCAAAAGGGTGATGAAAGGTTGCCCGTTGTGTAATAATTCCAAATGGCAAGCTGTCATTACATAAAATAACCACTTCCCCCAAGAAACAGCAGATGTTTCCTTGCTTTGTTGCATAGTCTCCATACTCTCTTGTTCATTTTACTTATTGTTACATACTTTTCTTTCATTGAAATCTTTTTTCACTCTGAGTCTTGGAGCATGGGGGAGGTCGGTGGAATGAGATGAAGCATTCTAACTCCAATGGCCCCTGAAAATCTCCAGTGCAACTTCTTGGGCTGGAAAAACTTCAGCCAGTCCACATTGTTAAAAGCTGTTGGGAAAGGGCTGGGGAGACCAGAGTTCAAGTCCCTAGTCAACCATGAAGCTCCCTTAAGACTAGTCACTCTCAGTGCAACCCTTGCAGGTTGCCTATGAAGATAATGTAGCAGAGAAATACAGTAGCTTGGAGAAAGAGGGGAAATAAGTGTTGGCATCCATCTGGTTTGAGAGACAAGTGAGTGCACCACTAAGGGTGAAGTCAAACTGTGGTGTTAGCAGCACTGAAGTGACGTCCCTGGAGCGCAAGTCTGGGCAGCAGTGAGTGGAGGTCCTGGGCTGCCCAGGGAAATATATATGTAATTACAGTAATAAGGTAAAGGTAAAGGGACTCCTGGTCTAGTCGTGACAGACTCTGGGGTTGCGGCGCTCATCTCGCTTTATTGGCCGAGGGAGCTGGCGTACAACTTCCAGGTCATGTGGCCAGCATGACTAAGCCACTTCTGGCGAACCAGAGCAGCACACGGAAACACCGTTTACCTTCCAGCTGGAGCGGTACCTATTTATCTACTTGCACTTTGACATGCTTTCAAACTGCTAGGTTGGCAGGAGCTGGGACCGAGCAACAGGAGATCACCCCGTCACGGGGATTCGAACTGCCGCCCTTCTGATCAGCAAGTCCTAGGCTCTGTGGTTTAACCCACAGTGCCACCCGCGTCACTATGTAATTAATAAACAGTAATAAATTATGAAACAGGATGCAACCAACCAACCATATCATTTAGGTTTATAAAATGCTTCAAAGTTACATACACACACCCTCTGTAAATCACAATCCACTTTCCTCTTTGGTTCACATACTTTCCCCCAGCCTTTCTTTGTTAACAGCATCCTTGTGTCATATATGCTAAAACTTGCAAGTGTCCCTGCTGAACTACTATGGGGGGTAGCCAGCCAACATTTATTCTAGTGCTGTTTTGATGGAACAGAAGGAAAATATGCACCAAGTATGGTAGTGACACCAGTTTCAGAAAACTAGTCAGAGCTCTTTTTCAGCACGAAAGAATCTCTAAATTAACATTTGAAACCAATGCTAAATACATAGGGTGAAATCCATAAGATCAGGCCAAAGGCCATGTAGTCCTGCATTCTGTTCTCACAGTGGCCAACCAGATGCTTATGCGAAGCCCAGAGAAAGCACTCTCCCTGCTTGAGACTCCCTGCTACTGCCTTTCAGAGCATTCTGCCCCCAACAATAGAGAAAGAACATACCTATGAGAGTTAGTAGTCACTGATAGCCTTGTCCCCCATAAATTTGTCTAATCCCCTTTTAAAATCATCCCTAAACCATTTCTATTTCTTGAGAAAGAAAATTCAAGAGTTTACGTGTTGTGTGAAGAAGTACTTTCTCTCTCCTAAATCTGCCAACATTCAGCTTCACTGAATGTCTCCTGAGATATTATATTGTGCAAGGCTGAATGAAATGAATGGGAGCTGTTCAGAAGCACACTGTGATCTCACATGTCTAGCACACACTTCAGTGGGGTCTTGGGGATTGTGCCTAAAAAGCGTAAGGTACAGTAGCTTGAGGAGTTGTTTTAACACAATAGAAAGATTGATCTCAACACATCAAGAAAAGACTAGAAGATAATTTTAGACCAGAAAATGTCCTATTAAATGCTCTAGCAATTGTTTGCTTAATTCATCCAAAAGACACAAGAGTATAGGTAAGGCAGGCACCTTTTATTTTTTTAGTTAAAACAAACTGTACCTCTTTTAAAACCAATACCAGCATAATTTCTAGTGCAATCTTGCCATAAGATATATTGATGAGCATTCATTTTATGTTCAACTGCATTTTTTAAAACCCAGAAATACAATTGAGAATAAAACCATCTAGTCTCAGTAACAGCATCAGAAGTTTACTATAAAAAAAGAGTAAAAGGTAGATTGTACCTTTGTCTTTATTTTCTGGCCAAACCCTTTACTAGCTGCATTCATCTATATTCTACAGTGGTTTCCACGATCTGTAAAATGTTCTCTCTTCATTATTATCTTTTACTGCTTCAGGAAAAAGATGAAAATAGCTTGCACCCAGAAAAAGAGCAAATTTTGAATCCAGAGCTGTGAGAGAACTTCGCATAGTATTTTAGTTCTGTTGCTGTAGATATGTGCATTCATTTAAAGAATACAGAGATATCTTTGTTCACGCTATAACAATATGGAATATAAACATGGTATTTGCTTAAATATGCAACTTTATTAACGAAAAACAGCTAGACCTTTGGTGCTTTACATATTATAATGTTAAAGTAATTCAAAGCAAAAGCATTGCAATGATAAAAAAAATCTAAACATAAACTGCAACTGAAACCAGCTTGTTGCAGTGCTGACAAAAGGCAGAAATGCTTAATGCAACAGTATAGCTTCAAGTTCTACTAGGTATATAAATAACTGCAAAACAATGTAACTTTTTATGAAAAAATAGAATCCTATATACGAAACATATTTGCAAAGGTACTTAATATTTGCTTGAGTGGTTCTTCAAGTTACTAGGATTACCCACTTGACTGAAGTGGAGAATTTTCTAATTTTGGTAGGTCTAGGAAGCAAGAAGCATACTGTTGATTCCCTGCATGCTTACTCAGAAGTAAGTTCCACTCTCTTCAATGCAATTTTCTCTCAAGCAAGCATAGGATTGCAGAATTATTTTAACTAATAACATAAATAGCAAGGATTTATGGTCTAACTCTATGAACACGACTGAGCAAGCACAACTCTCTTCAAGAATCTGAAGAGCCAAAGGCTGGTCCTGCCTGGGAGATATGCAATAAAATGGTATCATGAGAGCATTGCTAAGCTTTTAATATCCTAATCTAAAGTATTTGCACATGTATTACCTGCACATTATTTTTATGCTTTTGGTTTGTAATTATGTGCCGATGCACCAAATATTTGTTAATGTACCAATAACTGAACCAAATGTTGCAGAATGTTTTAATACAATTTCCCTACTTTGACGAATGTGCCTTAAGAATTGTGCCACAGTGTAAGCACAGCCTTTACAGCATGAAAAATACATTCTTTTGCTGAACATTCATACCCTGTATGAGAAAAGTAGGTACTTTGGCTTTATAAATTTTGTGCCTAAAACATGAAAATATTATTTTACAACTTGTTGGGTTTTTCTGCTTCCTCCCCCCTCACTGCTTAATTTATTATGCATTATAAATCACAAACACTAATAGTCTAAGCAGCAGCGGATTTCAAACTTACAGCTTTCAGGGAACTTTTTTGACCTGCTGTGCGACTTATTCATGCTGGAATTATGTTCTGGGTTGCACGCATGAGACTATGTGGTAGCTGTTGCACTGCATCAAATGAGTGTATGCATTACAGCAAACAACACGCTCTCACAACTCTAGTTTTCAGGGGGCAGAGATCGGCCGTTATACTGAAGCAGCACAGATGGGAGCGCAAGGATTCCTTGGAACACAGGTTTAAAACCACTATTCTAAGGCATCAACTTCCATAACTCAGAACCAATTTTTGTGTGTGTGTGTGTGTGTGTGTGTGTGTGTTACAAATAATATTCTCTTCCCCCTTACTGATTACATTTATCTTAAGCTTCTGTGTATGAAGTACCACTGTGTATGAAGTGGTAATGTGGGGGGAAACATGCATTTTCTTATTTTTACGTAACTTTTCCATCACTTCTTGCAGGTTGCAGGGTGGGGAGCAGAGAGAACCACAGTCCTAGAATGCTCAAAACATTGTCTTTTTTCTTTTACAGCTGGTCTCTAGCAAGCTGCCAGCTGGCTAAGCCGAACGATTACACTTTACTATAATATATACTATAATATATATTGTGCAGAGACTTCTTTTAAAAGCACATTTCCTGCTCTCTCTTTAGTGCATAAATATAGTTTTATTTAATAATTCTTACAATGTACTATAAGTAATTTGATAGTTTTGTTCTTAAAGGCTTTGGCATAACTTAGTGCGATTTGTCCAGTTTGCTACAGAATAATGGCTACAGCAAAGACATTGACGATGCAGTTCATAGTTCGGTTTTCCCATCGGACTGTGCAGGTACCTATAGTGGATTTAAGAAGAGAAAGTGGTCAAGGTTCTATATTCATTCTTAAGAGGACAACCGAATAACCCGAACTCATTTACAAAAGATAATCCCTAGAGGCTGTCAAATATTGCTTTTGGTGACCGATCTGGGCCACAACCCTAAACATGCTTACGAAGTAGATCTCTGTGAACTCTGCAGAACATACTTCTGGCTAATCATTTTCATGCTCTTGGTCCCAACACTTGCATAATAATGCATATTAGGAGTCAGAAACTTAGAAAAATCCTTCATAGATGGTCACTGGGGTTAAATAGAATTAAATCACACTACAGCATAGATTCAGTTTGTCAACAGGACTTTGATGGTGGGCATGTGATCTAGTCCAAGTTGCCATTCCTGTAGTTGATTAAGAACCCACAGCACTTTGAAAATCAAACCTTTTGCCAATGATAATGAACAGGGCTGCTCTTATAAGGCCACAGGCAGCCCCCTGATTCTCTCCAGCTACTTCTTCTGCAAAAAAAAAGCCCTCGGGTGATCAACTCAGGCACAATGACGTGTTTTTCCTTTGTGCTGGTGGCTACTGCTACCCCAGGCAAAAAGCTATGGCCAGCTCAGTGCACTAAAACCGTACGCTTCATTGCTAGGGTTCTTTTTACATTTTTTGCTAAGCTGCATTGAATGTGATTTTTCTTAGAAAGTAAGGACAGTGCCAGTGCTGGTGCACATTTCAGCATTTTCCTACCGGTACTCAGCATAGCAGAAAACGATTACAAGTCTCATAGTATATTTAATCAAGTAACTTACTGAGAACAAAACACGAAGAATATAAAGTTACAACAATATGAACATTCTTTCTTCGTTACAGCTTCGAGTCTCATCGGTCACTGAAGTACTGGCATATATGATTACTTGGTGATTTGTTTTTTTTTAACCTTGTTAAGCTTAGTTCTTCTCTTTCAATTGTATAACTATGAATTTGGAACAGTCATGCTGAGGAGTGAAGTCTGCCAGAGCTGTTCAGCGCTTTGAACGATGTCTGCCCTCATGAACAAGCACCACCTATCCAGGAGAATAGTCTCTTATCTTTCATGATGCCTTGCAGTAAGACAGATTTGATCCAGAGAGTGAATGAAGTTCAAATACTACTCAAACTTAGGCATCAATAACAATTCCGTGTCAGATTTAAACTCATCTAAAGAAACAGTCCTTGGCCTTCTGCCAAAGCATTTTTTCCATGCAACCAAAAGTGATTGGTCAGCCCTTTTCATTTTGGCCTGGCCTTATCAGCAGGTTTATCTCTCTTTATCATTTGGGGACCTGGGTAAAGAAAGTGGGTAACATATATAGTTTGGGTGAAATGATCCTAATTTCAGGAAGTACCTATTATATACCTATTATATCCTGGGGGCTATATGTGGGCTGCCAATTCAAACCACTTTTCAACTGCAGCATAATGTTTCACAACAATAAGTGAAAAGTCATTTTTTTCCATGAAGTAGTTTGCTTCAATTCTGCAGGCAGGCACTTACCATCAGTTGTGGTATCCCAAAAACATGAGCTTGCTGTATGCAGACCAGCTCCACACTTCTGCATCACTGCACAGGTTACTGAAGACAGAACAAAATCCCATGTTTATCAATAAAGTAGATTAATCAATCAGACTTCACTAGTCCTTTATACAACTGAAAGGACTAAGTGGCGGTTAAAGTATGAATTAAAATCCCCTGCCTTTTCCCAAAAACAAATTCTGTTGAATTATAATATTTAAGTTGCCACTATGCTGCAAAAGTGTGATCCTTTTTCTTTAAATTTCCTTTATTTAAGAAAGCAATGAGACATATTCCTCCTCAAAATGGTGGACTGCTTCCTGAACAGCCCTGATATTCTAGGCTTATGAGGTCTGTTGAAAATGCCTGGCTAATTTTCTGATGCAGATAATCAACAGCAGATGACCAATAAATGCCACGGGAATCTGAAAATAGAGCCCACCCCCTCGCCAACCCGCCGCATCCCATATTATTATAATAAAATGCATAATAAATTGGAGCAAAACTGCCTTCGATGCTTTCACGAAGGTGGGTGGGGTGCAACACATAGAACCTTATATGCCTCACTCTACTAACAAATTATATAGGAACGCAGGTGGCACTGTGGTCTAAACCACAGAGCCTAGGGCTTGCCGATCAGAATGTCGGTGTTTTAAATCCCTGAGACAGGGTGAGCTCCCGTTGCTCGGTCCCAGCTCCTGCCAACCTAGCAGTTTGAAAGCACGTCAAAGTGCAAGTAGATAAACAGGTACCACTCTGGCGGGAAGGTAAACGGCATTTCCGTGCACTGCTCTGGTTTGCCAGAAGCGGCTTAGTCATGTTGGCCACATGACCCAGAAAAACTGTCTGCGGACAAACGCCTGCTCCCTCAGCCAGTAAAGTGAAATGAGTGCCACAACCCCAGAGTCGTCTGTGACTGGAATTAACTGTCAGGGGTCCTTTACTAACAAAAGTAGGCCTGAAATCATTTTTTCCTCATTAATTGTAAAATTAATATTAACTGCATATATGCACAGAATCTTACCAATGTACTTGTATGTTTTCCCCAATTTTACCAGTTGTGTTAAAGATTGTTCTACTATAGCTGCAGTCCACTGATTGACATTGTCGTGATTGTAATCTGCCTTGCCCAGAACACCTTCTATACACTAAAAAGGAATAAAAATCTGATTAAATACAAGTATTAAAAATAGATAGTAGTATAAAATATATACTTTTAAGCCAGCCCCACTTTGTTATGTAAAGGGACTCAAATATCAGAAAGAGATTCTCATTTGCCTCTTTTCCTAGGCTAGAGCTCCTAAATGGAGGCACATAAATCAGTAACTGAACTGTTTACACCATTCCCATCTCAGTGGTAAGAGTCATGTAACAAACATGCAGAATCCAGAAGAGCGTTTTAATAATCTGAATTTCTTTCCCAACAGGACTAAAATATCCTGCTGAGCTGGATATATTATTGTAAATGCTACAATTCTGAGTTGCTGCAGCATTGAAATTCAGACAGGGTGGTCCTATTGCCTCAGTATACTGAGCAGCTTCTCTGCCAGGGCTAACCGTGGGCCACAATCAAACAACAGTCAACATAACAGCTACAGAAATAAATCCAATTGACTTCAAGGGCAGTTAAACAGCTCACCTGCACAGGACTGCCATCTCAGTCACCATTAGAAATTGTGTTCTACGGCGGGGGCGGGTTAGCAGAATTCAACAGAACACATAGAGAACACTTAGCGCTACTTAACATTACAGTGGAGTGTTATAAAAGGCAGTATCCAGAATTGTTTATTTTCATGAATCAAAAGGGTTCCTTCCATTCATGGAATGATTCCAGTACAACAGAGGCTTCCCTCTAGCACAAGTAGGGGAAGTGATTTCCCCCTTATACCCCTTGCAGGCCCTACTGCCACCTCCCAGTGTTCCACAATGTCCACACTCCCTGGAGAAGATTGTCAGAGGAACAGATTGTCAGAGGACTGCGGGGGGGGGGGGAGTGAATTAGCAAAAATCACCTTCCTCTTCTGTCAGCAAGAGAGTATGATCAAAGCCATTGGTCTTGCTATTAGAATGTACAAAACTTTAAACATCCAATATTCAAAATTTAGTATAAATACTTTGAATCTTACTAGTGCAGTCCTATGCACGTCTATTCAGAAAAATGCGCCATTGGATTCAATTAGCTATATTCCCAATGGACGTCCATATGACTGCAACTCAAGAGTGCAATATTAAACACAGCAAGGGAGGATGCCCCACTAAATATAGTGGGACTCAGTTTTGAATAGGCAAGACAGGATGTCTGGTGCAAGTCTTTCAGGGATACCCATTATTCCTGGAAACAGAAAACTGTCACCAAAATACATAAATACTGTACTGTATACTAAAATGTGCAACTTACATCTTTAATAACACTGTGCGCTTCTTCAGCATTGAAGGTCATCTGTAATCATATAAGAGATTTATTTAATTAAATTATTATTTTTATCACCCTTCATAAAATTTAATTATAGAGCTGCTTACGCATTTTAGAATACAAAATATAAAACAATAAAATTGCAGCTGCCACACAGGTTTTGGAAGAAATAATGAACCAAGACAGAATTTATTATTCAAAAAGCCCACAAAACTCTCCAAAACAAGGTCCATATATTTATAATCTTCATTTATTCTGGCGATATCACCAGCTCATGAATTTGGTGCATGCAGCTGCTGCATAAATGCCAAGTTCTTATATCTTACTGAAAACTAAGTATGTTATTAAAAATCACAATCACCAGAGTCCCAAATGGATTTTACAATCACACTATTTCTGGCTGTGTCCTGAAATTCATGCATCAGCATCTAAGGTCTATGTCAAATCTATATCAGGGGTCAGCAACCTTTTTCAGCCGTGGGCCGGTCCACCATTCCTCAGACCATGTTGTGGGTCGGACTATATTTAAAAAAATAAAATAAAAAATGAGCAAATTCCTATGCCAAATAACCCAGAGATGCATTTTAAATAAAAGGACACATTCTACTCATGTAAAAACACACTGATTTCCAGACCGCCCGCAGGCCGGATTGAGAAGGCGATTGGGCCGGATCTGGCCCCCAGGCCTTAGGTTGCCTACCCCTGTCCTAAATGCTATGACGTGACAGTCAGACCCTCCAAAGGTTGTAGTCAGCATAGTTCTACTTAGGGTAGACCCACTGAAATTAAATAGGCTTAAACACAGGTCTGTTCTGATTATGTTTGGCAATGGATACAACTCCAATTTTTTAAAAACAAAACAAAACCAGGCTAAACATGTCACAGAATCAAGGGATAACAACAAAGGGAAGGGTCTGCAGGAGAGGGAAAGTGGGGAAAGAGCAGAGGAATTGTGTGTCTGCTGCCACATTAGAAAGATTCCCTGGGTGCACACATAAAAACCCATCATACCAGGGAGAGCGCTACCCTTTCTCTTTTACACCATCCTTCTCTACCTGCATGAGGTTTTGTCTTCTCCTTTTCAATTGTGTGCAGAGGGCGGCAGGCACTCAAACACGGGATTCTTGTCTGACGCGCTCCTCTTCCCACCCCTTCCTCCATCCTCCCTTGGCCTTAACCTTGGAATCCACTGCACTTCCAAATTGGACTTCAAAGCAATGGCAGGCTCTTTTCACTACCCTATTTTGTTACCATCACCACCACCGTCTGCCATTATTCTGCAGTGGCCTCAATTGGCAGCGGGGGCGCGCGGGCGCGCAACCCTCCCCGTCCACGTGAGGACCGGCGTCGCAATGACAGCATTCTTGGGCGGACCAAGCCTCCCCCGCCTACGATCCCACAAGCGGCGCTTGCGATTGGCTGGGTGGAGACGTACACAAAACAAATAAATATTTTATTTTTTTAAAAAAGCCTTGAGCCAGGTGACATTTTTATGCAGACCAGGCCCACCCACGTCGAAGCGAGACTGAAAAGCGCAAGCCGGCCTCTTACGAAGTCATGGTTGTTGTTGGGGGGGGGTTTTGCGCCCCTCTCCTCCCCCCCCTCCACGCACACGCTTTAAAGCGGGTGGCAAGAACGGGAGGCGCCTCCGCCCCCGCGTGTCTGGAGTCGGGGGTCCCTAACCTAATTACTCAAGTAGAAGCGCGCGCCACGGCCAAGCGCGAGATCCTTCCCTGCGCTGCGACGAGGAAAAACCAGGTCACTGCTGCCCGCCGGGGCGACAGGGAGCTTGGGCTGGGGCGAGGAGGGCGCCCCGCTCCCGCTGGCCGGGGGAGGAGGGGGAAGTCCGTACTACCTCGTCGTTATGGGGGTGAAACTCTTCCATGGCCCCAGGAGCTGCGGCGGCGCGTCCCTATTCCCGGCAGTGGCGGAGGCGGCCCTGGTCCTCGCCCTGCTCCGCAGCTCCACCTTCCCTAAGCCGGAGGTGCGCAAAGAATGGCGCCACCCCCTCCTCCTCCGCCAGCTCCCTCTGCCGTCTGAAGGGAGCACTGGAGGCGCCCTCGAAGATGCCGCGGCCTCGCGCACACGCGCCTGTCGCTGGAGCGGCGCTGCCGGCGCAAACAAGCTTTTCCCCCCAGCGCCCGCACGACGTCGAAGCAGCAGCCCCCCCTTTCCCCCTCTTTACCATGGAAAATCCGATTATTTAAGGTGCCAGCCACCCGTTTGCGACATCCCCCCCATCTGGAAACAACACTTGATTCTTAGCAGGGTCGAGGCTCATTCTTGAAATCTGTCTTCGATACCAGGGCTGAGTGCTGGAGTATTTGTGAAGAAAAACGTCTCCTGCCACTTTCAGGCTCAACGCGGCTTTTCAGGGCATACACGTGTACGTACATACACAGAATGACGATAAAACGTTTTGGGGCAAAGGGCATAGCCTTTAGGTGGACTTCAGCCCCAACCCCTTTTAGCAGGGGTGTCATAGTTGCCATATATTGCCTGTGATGTTGCTGTTAGCTGCTTTGAACCTGGTTTGCCATGGGAAAGTGACAAAGAAAAAAAGAGACGAAGATGGAGATTTGGTCCATAACTGAGGTCTGCCCCACTCATATGACCCTTTAAGGGGCAAAGGGGCAACTTTAAATGGAAATACACTTGCCTGACTTCCATTCCCTGGCTAAAGGGATGCAAGTGGCAGTGCACTTAATTCCAATTAGACTAATTCCTAGTCTCTGCTGCGATGTTTCTTGGGGGCGCCTCTGCTCCTGCCAGTTTGGAGGGCTTGCAGGAGGCAAGGGTTGTTCTATGACGTCCCAGTATTTTTCCTTGCAGCCCAATCATACTTCCGAACAGGGAAGAAGTAGGGTGTTTCCATTTAAAGATATGGGTTTTTGAATATATGATGGGAAGGAATTACTGCAGGCTTCCCTGCAAAAATATTCTTAGTGCTTTGTATTAACTCACCCAGGGCCAAAATTTCTCCCAAGATGCCCCAATTATGAGAGTCAAAGATCATTTTTATTTCATTTATTAATTACTTCCCATGAAATATCCCAAAGTGATTAAACATAAAACATAGAAATAGGGAAAATGACAACAACAACAAATACAAAACCAATTTCAAATCCAGTACAGATACCGTAAAGATTGGAGTAAGTCTGCATTAGCTTCCAGTGGGCAGAACCACCTTTAATCTATCTTTCTTTGCTAAAGTGGCTTGAATCAACAAGTACTGAACCATGCACAGGACTGGAATTCACAGGACTGAGTCATGAGTAAAGTCAATTAAAATGACTTCTTGTGTTGATATGAAAATGGTTGTAAGAATCTCTCCTTGGTGACCAGATAGTGATTGCAAAGGAACAATGATCTTTTGTAAAAACCATGGCTAATTCTTTATCATTAGTGTTCTGTTTACAGTGGTGGCAAAAATCAGCTCCAGAAGTGTGGTAAAAATAGCCATGATATCTGACTTTGCCTACATATCTCTGTGCTTGGTGCTCCCCATCACACAGAGAAAGAAAAGCCCTTAATTGCAAATACGAAGCTATCCTAAGACAACAAAAGACTTCCCTGCATCTAATAATTGTTCAACACAGATGCAATACAGAGGTTGTATTGTGAATAGTATTCTGAAACAACAGTGTTCACACCAGAAAAACACTAAGGCAATTAAGCAGCCTAGCAACATCCTTCAACATCAAAAATTGTCAAAGGGGCTTGGCAAAACTTAATAGTGTTTTAAACAAAGCCGTATTTTCTTAGTTAACAATTTTCTGTTGGTGTAAGGAAAACAACAAGTATAAAATGAGAATTCCTGGATGCCAAGATCCAAGTATGGGGCAAATACTCTTTGGTGAGAGAACCCCAGCAGATATTTTAAATCACAAAATATGCAGCATGGAAATAAAGCATAGAAATATAGGCTGTTAGGCTTAAAATATGTGCCCTTTAAAGTGAGTTCCAAAGTTTCCCTCTTCCCCTAGCATAGAAAAGACCACATGTTAGGTAAGTAAAAAATTGTTTACTTACAATTTATCCAAAGGTCAGATTCATGTGCTTTTCCATACATCATTTAGAAAAAGTTTCAGAGGCAATTAAACCTGGCTTAGTTACATTGGTGAAAGTTCCTAAATTATTGGTATAGGTCACTCAAGAATGGTTGACGAGAGGCATACGATTGAGCTGGAGTAACCAACTCAAACCTATTTATATGCTGAGCTTCTCACGTAGACTGGGAGAGAACAATAGGCCTGATTACCTAGTTCAGGCTTCCTCAACCTCGGCCCTCCAGATGTTTTTGGCCTACAACTCCCATGATCCCTAGCTAGCAGGACCAGTGGTTAGGGATGATGGGAATTGTAGTCTCAAAACATCTGGAGGGCCGAGGTGAGGACCTAATTCTTCCCAAGCTAAGGGGAAGTGGACACAGCTAAGCCTAGCAGGACAACTTACTCTATGGTATTAACTCCTTCATGCATTAATTAGACTTAAGCATGTTGGTTATATGAGATATCTCACATTTTCTCAGGTCTTCATTATCACCTCTGTTGCGATCAGATATAGAGCCACTTGTTTGAAAGAAAAGACCCCTTGGCAAAGTATGCAGGCTATGAAGAAACAGGGCAACAATCAACAATAATTATATTTAGGGACACAACAGTTTCTAAGAACATAAGAGCCCTGCTACATCAGACCAAAGGCTCATCTAGTTCAACATCATGGTCAACCAGAGGCCCATGTTAATGGAAGCCCCCCAGCAGAACATGAACACTTTCTCCTCTAGGGTTCCCTAGCAAGTGGTATTAATAGGCATACAGTCTCCAATAACTAGTAGCCACTGAGGGGTAATACCTCTGGTGGGGAATATGTTGTGCCCCTTCTGAGGTAGTTCACCCAGCTTTGGTCCCTACCCTGCACTCAGTTGTCACCTGTGGCTCCTACAAGGGGTCAGCATTTGACAAGCAGCCACACCCTGGGAAACGGCTCCAGCTGGCCAGCAAAACCAGGTGAGGGTGACCAATGGATCTCAAACCCTCAGTGAGTAGGGGGATTTTCCTGCATGTGAAGACAGGCTCTGCCAGATTGAGCAGATGAGACCAATAGTGGGTCCAATGGTCAATAAGCTTTCTGCACATGTAGAGGGAAGTGAGGGGCAGATGGGGCTCATCAATCTGGGAGGGTGGTCCTTCAAGAAGAAGGAAAACGCTGATCCTAAACTCCCACTACCTTGCAGGACATCTTTGGGATTGTTGTTTAGTCGTGTCCGACTCTTTGTGACCCCATGGACCAGAGCACGCCAGGCACTCCTGTCTTCCACTGCCTCCCGCAGTTTGGTCAAACTCATGCTGGTAGCTTCGAGAACACTGTCCAACCATCTCGTCCTCTGTCGTCCCCTTCTCCTTGTGCCCTCCATCTTTCCCAACATCAGGGTCTTTTCCAGAGAGTCTTCTCTTCTCATGAGGTGGCCAAAGTATTGGAGTCTCAGCTTCAGGATCTGTCCTTCCAGTGAGCACTCAGGGCTGATTTCCTTAAGAATGGATAGGTTTGGTCTTCTTGCAGTCCATGGGACTCTCAAGTCTCCCACAGCACCATAATTCAAAAGCATCAATAAGAAAAGGCTAAGGAGTAAACCCCACACAAATCTGGAGCAGAGTTGCTAAGAAGGTTGGATAGTGACTTTTAGGGCTCCTTCTAGCAACTCCTGCAGTGAAGCTTGTGCCAAACCTATTGCTCCGCTTTCTCTTGCACCACATCAGCGAGGCTGGGGTGTGTGTGTCCTTGTCGTCTGGTGGACAGCTCAGAAGCTCCATACAGACTGCCCAGGCTTGCATCCCGGGTGCTGCTAAGGCAGCAGTTTGAGTTCACCCCCAGAGGCGCACTCCATTGACTCTCGAGACAGACGATAACAACAACAGCTGAGAGCCGCCTTCTCCATGAATTCACCTAAATCCCTATTAACCATTCTTTATTTAATTTACTAATTAAATTTCTACACCGCCTTTCCTCCATGAATCACAGGGCGGTTTACGACATAAAAGCACAAAACTTGCAGTTTTGCCCGTCACTCTGCGTGTGCCAAACTTTGCCTCCTCCTTTACAGCCATCGAAACCACCACTCCCTCCCCCGCCCTTGTTCTTTCCTTCTTAGCCGAGCCTCCCCATATCCTTGCGCGCCCCTCCGAGGTCTTGCAAGCGCGCAAGGGGCTCGCTCTTCTTTCGGAAAGTCGTCTTCTGCCCGCACAGTGCCTGCTGCCGCGGCGCTTCCCGAGCCGCGCCAGCAGAGGGCGCCTGAGGGGCGGCAGTCGGCGTCCGCGGGCAGCTGTGCGCCAGCCCGGGCAGGGGTCTCGCTTCTCTGCACCGAGCCTCGGCGGCGGCGGCGGCAGCAGCAGCAGCAGAGAGCCGCCCGCCTCGCTCGAGCTGGGAGGCGTCCCCAGGGCCCGGCTGCGCTCGCCGGGGGCGGGAGGCTGGCGGCGGGGATGCTCCTCCTCGTGCAGGAGCTCAGCACCAGCAGCGGCCGGGCGGGAAGCCGCAGCAGTCTCGCTTGGGACCCGCGCCCAGGCGGCGGCGAAGAGGGAGAAGCGAGGACTTGACCCGGAGGGTAAGCTCGCCTCCTGAACGTCTGTTTCCCGCCAAGGAGCTGCCGCGGCCGGTCAGTGTCCGGCTGGCCCCTTTAGCAGCCTCGACGGGGGGGGGGGAGCGCCCGCGGGGGAGGCGGCTGCGCCACCCCCCTTGGGTTTCTCCTCTCTCCAGGGTCGAGTGAGGGGGAGAGACCTGGCCTCCCCCCCCCTCGCGCTTCCATGGTAGAGTCCGCGTGCTTCGAAGGCGAGCGGGGGAAAGGCTGGTTGCGCCAATCCCGCGCGGAGCGAAGAGGCGGGAGGAGCCGAGAAGAAGTCGGTGGACTTCTCTCCCCGGCTCGGAAAAAAGCGGAGTTTTACTTCAGGCGTTTGCGGTTGGCGTTTTGAGACGCGAGGGAGAGAGATGCTCTTAGGAAAACGAAAAAACAGGATTCTGGCAAGTGCTGGGATTTTGAGGGTGGCTTTATTTATTTGTTTAGAAACGAGCGAAGGACGGGTCCCGAAGAAAGGCGCTCGTGTTGTTTCCCAGAAATAATTTCGCCTCAGGTTAGTGTTCCCGCCTGGAGTTCGTGCCGGGCTCACCTGCTCGAGACTTGCGCAGCTGCACGTCTGCGGCCAGGCTACCTGCGGGGCATTTTCGCTCCGGGTTGTGCTGGGTGGATGGAAGCGCCGGAGGAGAGAGAGCCTTGCAGGCAGAAAGTCCCAGGTGCAATTGATTCCTGTTTCCCCCCCTCCAGGTGTGGCTGGGGGTTGGGGAAGACTCCTGCCTGAAACTCTGAAGAGCTGGTGCTTGTTAGAGTAGGATAATACTGAATAAGGCAGCTTTCCTATATTGGGGGGGGGGTGTGGAGCAGGTGATCCTTCCCTTTTGTATAATTGAGCTGTTTTATTAAAAAATGTAAGCATTTATTATTTTATACTAGCTTTAATGCAAAAAATCCGAAGTATTGAAATAATATGAATTTAAAAATTGCATTAAAGCAAAATGCAATACAGTGGTACCTCGGGTTACAGACGCTTCAGGTTACATATGCTTCAGGTTACAGACTCTGCTAACCCAGAAATAGTACCTCGGGTTAAGAACTTTGCTTCAGGATGAGAACAGAAATCATGCAGCAGCGGTGCAGCGGCAGCAAGAGGCCCCATTAGCTAAAGTGGTGCTTCAGGTTAAGAACAGTTTCAGGTTAAGAATGGACCTCCAGAATGAATTAAGTTCTTAACCCGAGGTACCACTGTAACTGTTTATAGGCCATTAACCAAAACAGTATTTCAGGTGTGCCTAGGGTTCTTGGTATGTCTTGTACAATTTTAGCTTTCACTGTTACTCCCCACCCCCCATATCATATCCAAATTAGTGGAACTCTCCTCTGGTTCAAAAGAGATTTGCTGCACAGCACCGGCGTGTGTGGAAGGGAGGGATCATGTCCAAACCTTTCTTGGCTCATGTACCTATTCATGTGGTGGTGGTTAGATCTATGATAGAACTATTTAGTTCAGCTGTTCCTGTGGCAGAGTCATTACGAAAGCACCATGTAATTTCACTTGCAGACCAAGGTAGTGATTTGAACAGGGATTTGGGAGGAACAATTAAACTGAGTACACATTACTGCCTACTTGTCCACTCTCATGTGCTCCCACCGCTGGTGTATGAAGCTGAGTACACATTATTTTAGACACAATCCATCTGTATCCCTTAGCTTTTTGAGAAAGGCTCTTTTGATGTGCTTCCCCTCAAACCAGTGGAAGCTGTAGTTAAACTGATGTGTGTACATTTCAGGCTGACATTGACCCATGCACAAATAAACTAGAATTCACCGTGGAGAAACAAATTGGACATGGTGTGAAGATAACCCTGTCTCCTCTATGGTCTGTACAGCAGTGGTTAAAAAGCAACTTGAAACCCGGTGGGGGACCTCACTGAGTTTCAAGTCATAGACTTAGTTGAAAGGAAATTACAGTAACAGTCTAATTCTGTGCATCCTGGCTAGGAAGTGTCCCTCTGTAATCAGCGGGGCTTAATGCTGTGTCAGTGTTACAGCCTAAACTGCAACCTAAATTGCAGTGTTGCAGACAGAATTGCAGCCTAAAGCATATTATTTCTGTGGGTTCAAAAACTGACATGTATTCCTGTGAGTAACTTGCTCAGTTTTCCCCCCTCATTGTAGAGTAGGTGGGGTTCTAACTGAATGGATATTGGTTTTTGGTGTTGGCTTTTTGTGGTCTTCTGTTGTGAAACAGTGTTAGGTTCTCATTACCTTAAGGTAAAGGTAAAGGTACCCCTGCCCGTATGGGCCAGTCTTGCCAGACTCTAGGGTTGTGCGCTCATCTCACTCTATAGGCCGGGAGCCAGCGCTGTCCGCAGACACTTCCGGGTCACGTGGCCAGCGTGACAAGCTGCATCTGGCGAGCCAGAGCCGCACACGGAAACGCCGTTTACCTTCCCGCTAGTAAGCGGTCCCTATTTATCTACTTGCACCTGGAGGTGCTTTCGAACTGCTAGGTTGGCAGGCGCTGGGACCGAATGACGGGAGCTCACCCCGCCGCGGGGATTCGAACCGCCGACCATGCGATCGGCAAGTCCTAGGCGCTGAGGTTTTACCCACAGCGCCACCCACGTCCCTCTCATTACCTTACCTACTTTAATTCCTGATTTCATGCAGATGAAGATCCAAGGTTAGATTTGGGCCCTGTATTTGCAAGCCTGGATGAGCTATCGCTGGCAGAGGAAGAGGAGTGCGGGGGGAGTGCACTGCCCCCAGTAGTGTGATCCTGGTGGGGTGCCTTTGCAGCTACTTCCCCCACCCACACTGGGTGCCATGTCCCCACAGGCGGTGTGCCATGCCCCCAGGATGCACGCATGCCCCTGTGGGCGGCGCACCATGCTCCACCTGCTCTCCCCCCCCCCCAGTGCCAGAGCATGAAGCTTCACCACTGTGAGCTATCATTTGGAGTGACAATAGTGAGGAAACATATTGGCTGTAATTGGGAGTCAAGGCTTTTCCCTAAGGCTAGACACTTAAGCTTCAGTTAGACAAAGTATTTAGATCCTGAATAAGCATGTTCCATCAGAAGTAGCAATAATGTACCTTTCAGGCATATACCCTCTGCTTTTGTCTAGCAAAATGCCCACCATTATAATGGCTGGAATGTATGAGAGAGTAGAGGAAAGTCTTCTTCTGTAACACAAAGAGGGAGCAGGAAAATATTGCAGTGGCCTCTGCAGGCTGAGGTGGAGTTTGTTCAGTGCACTTTTGTTGTATCCCCTCTTCAAAATTTCTGTTAATGAGTGACACACATGCTATAACTTCATTTGCATGTAGCACTCATCCAAATCGTGGCTTAGTACCAAGGACCAAATGTGCAAATGTCCTGTTGAGGATATTGTGGCCACCTAGCTCCTTCTGTGGCTATTTTGCTACTGTGCTGGACTAAGCCATGGTTTGATTTAGCCTGTTATCTGAACCTGGACCTGTGGTCTAATTCTCAGGCAAACCACCTTGGTTAGCTCACAAGCCCAGGTTCAAGCAACACACTGACTCGTGACTTACCACAGTACTGCAGAGCAGCAGAATGACTGCAGGAGGAGCAAAGTGGCTGTGAGCTATCTGGGAACCTGCACATTCGCTAATTTGTGCTAAGTTATAGTTTGCCTTAGTATGACATGTGCACCTGTGTCAGCAGTAGAAATCAGGGTTTGCTCTCATAGCAGTGGTCTGAAGGGCAACACCTTTTATTTCCCTATTGGGATGAATAACAAGCACTTGTTTACATGGGAGAGATAAAGGACTGCACTTGGGATTACCATTCAGATGGCTGCTCAGCCTGACCCGTGCCTCTAATCCCAGTCATCAAGATTCAGACCTGCTACTTCAGCATAGCTCCTCTTAGTTCTGTTTCTTGAGGCGCTTCTAGAATGTCACTGTTCTGAGGTGGGATTCAGTCACATACTGGCAGATTCAGGTTGCACAATTATAGTTGTTTGGGAGGTCTTGAGCAGAAAACTCATGCCACTCAGAGGACTTTTTATGATAAAGTGAGGTGAAAGTGTACTGGAAAGTGAGAGAAATAACACCTGTTTTGACATAACACCATCTAACCTCCCCACAAACAAATCAGAACACGCTCTCTTTAAACTGCTGTTGTCTAACTTCCCTAACAAATCAAGATGAATAAACAGGTTTTCTGGAAGCACCCTTGATTTTACTAAAATGTTATCTATGTGTAATATAGTTTTAGACAGAAAACATCTCGTCTCCTATTCGTTAGCATTCTTAAACTAATCCCAGACAGATCATTCTTCTGACTGGGATTAGTTTAAGAATGCTAACCCTTCATGCCTGGCTGCTTCCAGACTACTTTGGATTCAGTATATGTAGCCAAAATGTATCCATTTATAGTACCTGCATAATAAAGAGCATTCTTTACCCTTTCAGTACATTGCTGCAATATGGAATAAAAATGCAACTTTTGCAATAAATTGTACATCGGGAGTTGGCAAGTGTTTCCTGAAATTGCTTAAGCAAGTTTTTAAACTCATGGTTCTGGAAGAAGGCAGGAAGAAGGTAGATAACTGAAAAGTAGTTTGTTTATTTACAAAGCATGTCTTAAAAAATATCTCTGCAGCAATGTCCATTCCTGCTTGAAATGTCTTGAACAGAGGAGTCAGAGAACTGCAGTCCACAGAGTGATGTAAGCAAGAGAGTATGAGTCATGGTGTCTGAAAAGGAAGCCGATAAACCTCTTCATCGGTGGACACTGAACAAATTCAAAGCTTGTATAAGCAAGGCGGAGATCTGATTAAGTTTCACTTGATGACGACAGATCTGACTCTGGTCTTCAGCACACAGTATATCTAGGATGACATTCACAAAGTTTACTAAGGAATTAAACTTATAGTGCAAAAGAAAGGAGCTGCAACCTAAACTCATATTGGATTTTACAGCAGTTATTGGGGGGGGGGAATGCAGAACGTTACAAATATTTTTCTAGTAGAGTTCAAGAGTCAGATGCTTTTTGAAAAAAG